TTGTTTGTTTCTTAACTGCCTTGTTTGTTTATTGAGCTATAAGAGTCCTTTATATATCCTAGATAGAAGTCCTTTATAATTTTTTTTTTGTTTCTGCCAGTAGAAAAGCAGTTTTTAAGCAGAAAATATCTGAGTTTAGGGAACACAAATGGTCCTGTCTCCAGGCGCCATGCATGGCTCAGGGCAGCTCATCAGTAATGAGGATTCTGAGTTACAAAGTCCGCAGTTCCAGCCCAGCCATGGACCTTCGTGCGCTTCCAGTCAGAGAAGAGCTACTTGCAGTGCATGTGCTGTGCATGGTGTGGAGGGAGCCTTTCTGGAGCGGAAAAGAAGCAAGTGTCAGTCCTCGTCACCCGCAGGTGACCTTTTGTGACATGTGCCACAGGGCGTTAAAGGAGCAAGTGGAAGCAAGTCAGGAGAGATGGGTGTAGCAAGAGACTAATAGGAACTTGGGGCAAATCATATAATGGCCACCGAAGCCATGGAGAAAGCAGAAAGCAAACCCCTACAAGACAGTGGTACAGTCAGACCCATGCTGGGCAGACACTGGTAGTTCACGGAGAGGCCGGGTCCAAGTTGGTGGGATGGAAAGACAGGGATGCATATTCAGAAGTCTAGACAGGAGGCTCAAGCTTCCCCAGGGGGTGCGGGTGGATGAGGAAGGCTGCTTCTCTTCAGTCACAGACTTAAATGTTCCCTTCCAAGCCTCCCTGATTGGTGGAATGGAAGGAGGTTATTAAGGCAGATTCATGGACTTTTTAAAATTCCAGGAGCACAGCAGCAGCAGCAACATACTAACAAGACGTCTAGGAGCCATATCCAGAGTGGGGCCAGCGTTGGGGACAGGAATTGAGTGGCAGGTGGGACACAGGAGCAAAGCCAGCAGGGCTTGCTGGCTAGAATAGCGTTCCGTTATGGCTCTGAGGAAGGACAGGCCACGGGGTCACTACCACGTGAGTAGCACCTCCATATGACTTCCGTGTCTGATTCTCACCCCCATAACCTTTCAGAAGATCGAATCCGTGTAGATAGAGCCTGAGTCATGTCCTCTCTGGCAGTACCTTAGGGCTGATTTCGTACACATGGAAGGGAGCCAGGCCCCATGGGTAGATCATTAAACAAGGAGTCTTTCCTTGGCACACCAATACCTAAATGTGTGACCTTGACTTCGGTCAGGCTGTCAACCTGTCAAGAGGGGTGACTCCAGGGTTGAGGCCTTGCTGCTCCCCTTAAAGCCTGGTTCTTCAAAAACAGCCCAGATCTTCCTGGTTTCTGCACGTCTAAAGAGACTTTTGTAAGTACTATAAAGATATTATCTACGAAAAACTTTGAGCTCTTTCAATAAAGATGTTGTATACATATAATCAAAGGAATTCTGGTAGACAAACATTGTGACACTGGAGATTATTCTTTGAATCTCTGTTCAGATGTCATTTTTTTTTTAACTTGGCATGTGTCCAGGCTTGCACAGATATAGTCGGTAAATGCTCTTATCGAGTATCTAGCTCAATCTCTTCTTTCAAATCAAGGCTGCAGAGTAGATTTTCATAAAAGCCTCAGGCTTCTGTCTCAATGAAAAATAAAGCTAAGTACAAGTGAGATCCCATGTGACAAATATTTTATGAAATATTTATAGTTAATGTGAATGGCATGATACATTTTTTGGTGCAATCAAATGTTGGTCAACCAACATTATTTCAAGTGTTATATGCTACTTCAAGTTCTATGCGTTTTTTGTGACTTTTATAAAGGGTTCCACGTTTTCATGGTAGGTAGTAAGATAGCACTTGGGTTCTAACAGCTTATTCTTGACACCAAAATTTAAAGAGAATGTGATCAAAACACTAAAACAGAAAGGTTCATGAACTTTGAAGGAGAAATATTCTGGGTTGTGTATGTGTGTTTCTTCTAAACTTTAAACATGAAGTGGCTATGTAAAAGTGGTTCCTAACTGGGAAAAGACTAAAAATGATTGAATATTTCAAACAAAGTTCAGTGTGAAACCAGTGGTGCACTCTGTAAGGATAACAGGGAACAAAGTTTTAGAAGAGAAAAGAGAACAAGAAAATCGGGAAGCAGTAAAAATAGTGATTGGGGTCAGGCAGTAACAATCAAATCAAGAAACTGGGAGCTAATGGAAAAAGCCATGGGTAGCTGTAAAAGAAGCATTTGAAACAGGAAATGATGTGAGGGGAGAAGATAATTTTAGCCAACTTAAAGGAGGTAGCAGCTGTGGGTGTGAAGAGAATGGATTAATTTTAAATGTGTCCCAGAAGTAAGAGACGTATCTTTTGAGCAGAGGGGGAGGAATGATGAGGCAAACCTAGTTGAATGTTGAACAGTTATTTTGAGCAAGAGTCCAGCTGGAGTATTATGTCCATTTTTGGACACCGTACTCAAGTCACTGGGCAGTGAGGGATATGTCATTGTGTCTCTGCAGAGGAACCTGTGCCTGCCTGGCCCCAGCTTGGCAGCTGTCCTCGGTACCTGTAGGTCTACCCTAAGGGAGCAAACTCAGGTTTGGCTCTTCATTGCCCAGAAGAAAAAAAAGCCAAGGGAAAGTTAGAGGGAGGCAGATTTTCTCACTATGTTTTAACAACCGGAAGTGCCCATGTAATGGAATGGGCCATTGTAATGTTCTCTGAATTTTGTGAGTATTTAATCAGAGAATATTCAACATAAATTAATAGAGTTTCCTTGATATTAAAGGGTCTTTCCTGACTGGAGGAGCATGTGATTTGTTGACACTGAACTTGGATCCTCTTACCCCTGAGGCTCCATTGTTGCTCTTTTCTTTGGGGGCTGCTTACCAGTACTCCCACCTGCCAGGAGAGAAGGAAGCCAGGTATGCTTGTTGAAACTATCTTTCCGTCACAGTAAATTGGCTGATGTGCTTTTTATGTCTCCTCATTCATTATTTATTTGGAGACTCCAAGCCGATGTTTCTGAAGAACTGCCTTCCTCTTTGTTAATTACACTATGACGCAAGTCAAGGGCGAAGAAGAAGCTAGATGAGTGTTCAGTCTGGGTGGTGTGAGGAGAGCTCCGTAGAAGAACTATCTGCAAAGACGTGGACAGTGTTAGAGGCAGCCTGCAAGGGATGGCACCGTTCCCCAGGCTTGTGACTCGGGGAGTCACCACCACCTCGCTGGGCTGAATGTCAAGGAGACAGAGCTGGCTGCAGACGCTGGAGACAGGGGTGGTGTTTCAGAGGACACTCCGCACAGGGAGGGTGGAGCCAGCTCACGACAGCCAGGGGAAAGAATAACCCACTGTGTCTCAGTCTGCTGGTCCCCCCAAACACCAAAGCCCCCATGAGCAGGGCCCAAAGTGAGACTTCGGACACCCAGCTGGCTCAGCCTCCTGGGGTGCACAGCAGGGCAGAGCTGAAACAGACAGTCTGGAGGGTTAAATGGAAGAAATGACAGAAAGCGAATTCCTCCCTAAAGTATCGTTGGGGCCAAGGAAGTATTTGTGATACTCGGAATGTGGCAATGTAGTTTAAAAGAGCTCAGGATACCAACCCTCTGCGAGCTTCCCTGAGGCTATGTCTGTTGGGTCACTGCCCCATGCAGGGTTTTGTCCTGAAGTTCAGTATTAAGCCCCAACACACACACACACACACAAACACACACACACACACACACACACGCACCTCCTCAAGGAAAAGATGCACAGTGAAAAAAGGATTCATAGAAACCTTTCAAGACATGTTAGAGTTTCCCACCTAGAGGCCAAGATGAGTTAAATACAACAGAGCAAAGTCTCATCAGAAAGGCAGGTTTACAGTGAAGTAATTCAAGCTTTGGGTTTGCCCTTTGCTTGGGCTTTGGGAGCCCTAATTAGGGCTGTGTGCTATAAAACCCAGAGCTCAGGAGGTAGCCATGAAACAAACTGGGTCTCACTTAATTTGAGGATTTTCTTGTTACAGTGGCTCTCGTCACCCTAAATGATGTGTGACACACGGTTTGCCAAGCTTGTTTCGATGCTGCGTGGCAAACAGCAAACAGCCTAGAGGCAGAGGGAGTGAGGCAGGGAGACCAGTGAGGAGGTCACCGCAGTGGCAGCAGGGGGCAGGTGGCAGCTTGGATTAGGTTGGTGGCACTGGGTGAGTGATGGGAAGTGGAAATCCTGGAATAGTTGGGAATAATTTGCCCTGAAACCAGCAAGACAGACAGGTGGCAGAGATGTTGGATGCGACAGCAGGGAGATACCAAGGACGCAAAGGTTTTGGCTCGGACCCACTAGAAGGTCAGAAATGCTCTTTTCTGAGAGGCTGGAAATCTCTTTCTCACCATTCTCCTGCCTGCAGTTTCCCTGAACAACCTCCTGCTTGTGGACTTCAGACCCCACCTTTCCTCCCTGGGCCTCATCCAGACCCTGCAGCCCTCACGGGTGTGTCATCTGTGTGACACTCAAAGTGACGCTTGTCCTACCCGCTCTCAGCGGGCAACTTGATGAAATGAAACTGGTAAGCATGAAATGTAGCAATTTCAGCCTGTGATGGGTTTAAATTGCTTTTCTCATTGTCACCAACCTGAGGACAGATGGGGAAGGACTGTGTGTCTACTACCTGCAATTAGGAAACAAAGGGGACTGTGCCTGTTTTGGGGTTTCTGTTGGTTCTAAGATGACCTTGCTTTGGACCATGGTTGCAACATACTTTATGGCCCTAATAGCCCGGGTGTAATTTACCTTTATTGCTTCTCCTCTCTCCGTGTCCCCTGGAAGTGGGCTCAGTCAGTGTCACATTTTCTCCAGGGCAGGGTCCCAGGATATTCACTTCACTGCTCTGGGCTTCACTTACCATGGTGCCTCTGGCAGAGCTGGATAGTTAGCAAGGAGGGGGGATGGGGCATGGGAAAGAAAGTAGCATGATATGCATGAGAGGTAGAGGAGCAAATGCAAGAGAAAAAAATATCAAAAGTAATGGAAGCATTTGCTTTTCAGTTAAGTGAGGATATGTACCAGGCTCAATCTATCGTCTTAGGATCCCTGGAAGGAAGCATCCGATAGGATTCTGTCCTTCAAGGAGCTTGCGGTCCCATCCAGGGACAATGAATCAAGATGCCATCTAATAGCAGGGGACCCTTCTAACAAACAAGTGCTGGGAGAATCTGGGGGTGAAGCAGCTCTTAGAGGCCGCACTGCTGAGGGGGTGATGGTTCTCCCCACGGATTCCAGGAGAAATGGTTGCTTCTTTTGGAGCCAGCTCATGGGAGGAGCTCTTGTGTCTACTGTAAGCCAATCACAGTGAAGCCCCAGGAAGGCCACATGTCTGGGGTTGGACTCCATAGATAGGCTTCACTAATGGGGACACACCAGGAGTGCTTTGTCTTTTCACTGTCCCCTGAACTGTCACTGACACTCAAGTCCTCTGCCATCCATAGCGAAACTAAAGTTGCCAGCTGAGAGAGTTTGTCTCTGCAGTTCTTTGCCTCTTTAGTGTTGGGGAAGAGGAGGAAAGAGGGTGAGGAGAGCTCCCGGAAGGGGAGGTGCCTTCCTGAGCCCTCGTCCTCCGAGCGCCCTTCCTGCAGGCCCAGCACTGCTTACCACCTCGCCCACACTGTGCTCCCTCACACATCCTGCACGCCATAGCTCGCCATCTGTCCGCAGCCCAGGCACTGGGAGTGGGGTGTGAGTGGCTGCTATACTGAACCAAAGGAGACAAATGAGCAGGAGCAGTGACCCCCCAAGGACTTCTGTCCACCCATTCTGATGGCGCCTAAAGAGGAAGGTCTTGCAGCTTCGACCTTAAACAGCTCTAGTGATCTGTGGATACCACGATACGGTTGAGTGCAGAAACTGAATGTGAGAGCAAAGCACTCTGGGAAGAACAAGGAAGAGCCCGTTGGTCCTAGCAGCACATGCACACGTGTGTGTGTGTGTGTGTGTGACACGTCGGCAGATTGTGACCAGGTCTCACAGAGGCACTGGAAAGGTGAGTAAAGTTCCATCATGCAGAGAAGGGGAAAGAGCTGAGACAAGGAAAGCTGAGAAACCCCACATAACCCCTTAACAGAGGCCAGTTCAGTCTGCAGATCCTGTTCTCAGCTGTGCTCGGCTGAATAAACAGGATGCACCGTAGCATCGTGGCTAGTGAGTACCGTAATGGCCTCTGTCTTATCTACAAAATCGCTGACCGATGTCCCGAGTGATGTGGGCTGGGGCTTGAGCACATCCTGCCGTAGTTATCTGTGTCCTTAGACATGGCTTACATTTCCTTTTCTCTGCCTTAGGATTATTTAGACCGATCACTTGATGTGACTCAGTAAGTACAGGGTGGAATCTAGGCTACAAATGAAAATTTGGAAAAATTGGTGTCAAATAATCTACACCAGCGCTGGTAAAACCATCTGCGTTTCCCACCAGATGACACAAGAAGGATGATGCGCATCCCCCAGTTCACACTCGAGGGTTCAATAGCAACTTTCTTTCTTTCTTTTTTTTTATCTGTATCAGGGATCGAACTCATGACCACCTGCTTTCAAGGCAGGTGCTTATGCCACTGAGCTAAATCCCCAGCCCCTCAATACCAACTTTCTATTGCTGTGAGTGCATGGTGAAGTCTTCGCTCTCAAAAGCCAATTCACTGGGCCAGGATATAGCTCAGTGGCATAAGTGTCTGCCTAGCAAGGTCCTGAGTTGAGTCCTGTACCCCTCCAAAAAAGCCAGTTCACTGATACTGTAACATAATCTGCATTATATTTCTTCTGTGACAAATACTTATTTTAGAGAAGATAATAAATGCATGTGGCTCAAAAACAGGAAAATATGGTGAAAGTTTCTGAAACTTTATTCCCAGATTAAAACCCTTCATTTTAAAATCAGGCCATTTAAAATTTTTTTTTAATTAATGCATTCCTAATTGTTCTAGGATCAATGTTCCTCTCCAGTGGGTTTCTGGGATGCCCAAAGTAAGCTCAGTCTGAGTGATTCTCAGATTGCTGTCGTGGGAACAAAGTAAAACTCACTAACGCTGTGATTGTGACCCTAGAAAACAAGTCACTATCTAGTGCATAGATTTTTCAACAGTAAAGCAATCTGGATTTACTGATCATGAGTACGAGGGACCTATCACATGACCTGTGTAAGTTAGCACACCTTACTTTAAGAACATTAACCAGTGTTATGCAAGGTTAAAAACAGAAAGAAAAAAAGTAGTCCTCTAACACCCTTCCCTAACACTTGTCTGTTAAGAACAGGCCCTATCTAATCTCTGCATAATCACCCAAACACTGAATCCTAATTATCCCCCCCCCAACCTTGGGAAAGGTTCTTGGCCCTGAACCTTGCTCTGCTTTAAGGGTGTCTGTGGGGGTGTGGTTTTTGATAAGCCCCTGGAGGCGAGGGGTGGGGAGACATCGGTATTCCACAAATGTAGCTGGTCTATTCTGGGTGTCCAGACTGGAAATTCGCCAAAGTTTCTGCTGCACATTTACCTGAGCTAAGGCAGATGGGCCCCCAGTGCTTGGGAGAAACACAAAGGTCAAGTAAATGTATCTTGCAGTTAAGCCCCAATCTCCTGGTGTAAAAGCACCCATCTATGCAGCCTGTGTTTTCTGAATGCCCTCTTTGTGTCACTCTGAGCTGACCCTGGACTGGCTGAACAAGCCCAACGCTGGGCAGTACCTGGGCAGTCAATAAGGGTCTTGTACTGCAGCGAAGGATCCCTACAGCTTGCAGCCCTGAGACTTGAGGGCACACATAACTTGAACCACAGTGCCCCCTGGCAACCAAACAGATACCCAGCGGGAGCTCCCGCTGAATAGAGATGGCAGGTGGCTCTCTCCAGGTGAATCCTTGCTGCAAACTGGGCAAAAATCCCGATTCCTGCTGCATCCGTCAGTGCAAGGTGTTTTCTGCATTGTGTAACCTTTGGACGTATCTCATCAGAATTCCTGGAGTTCTCGTTTGCTGAATCACACCTCTGGAACCCTCAAGTGAGAGGCCTACTAGCATTTCCGAGGCACTGCCTTCAGGCACTAGGCACGGATTTTACTTACAGGAAACCATTCAGTAGGGAGGTGTCCCTTCTTCATTAAATTTTATTACCTACAAAAAATGACAGGACTCTCCCAGGGTGTAATCCTTCCTAACCAAGGAAAGTAAGAGCTAGCAGAAGTCAAAATCCAGAGAAGCAAGGCCCAGCCTGCCCGGCAAATGTTGTTTTGAAACAGAATGAAACGTGGACAGGTTGTGTAGAAAGATCAGAAAGTGACATTTTCTGCTTGTTCACTGGCGTGTGTATACACACACACACACACACACGCATCCACACACATTCACACACTCATCCGCACACATATGTTTATAGAAAGCTGATGAGGTCTCACAATGAACCCCGTACTGTGCTAGGAATTTAACTGTTTAAATTCACACCACAACCCTGCTGGGTGACCTGTTGCCTCATCGTGGAGACAGCAGGACCCAGAAGCTTGAACGCCTGGCACAAGGTCCCCATAGGACACAGGAAAATTTCAAGCTCTTCAAGGTTTCCGAGGCTTGTGGAAGAAAAAAAAAAAAAAAAAGCTGGAGAATTTATACCACAAAGGAAAGATTAAACAATGAAAGTTCTTTGACAGTTTTTTTCCTTTGCAATATCAGAAATATCCAGCAGGCTGTACCCCTGAATCAGTTTTCTAATTGAAACTCCAAACCATTAAACACTGAAATTTTTTTTTTAGTGCTTCAGTTGATATTTTCATATTATTTTAAACCAAATCTGCAACACAATAATTTATAAACTTCAATATGTACACCTGAAAGTGAAAAGTAAATGCTGTTTGTAACCTTAGAAATATGTATAATTTTTAAGTTTTTAATGAATCAATTAAAATTTTAATTTAAATTTTAAAATCATATAGGTAAATTCAATGCATATTTATTTTAGAAGCTGGACATTAGTTTTTGTTGTAATCAATAATAATAATATAAGCCGAGTGTGTGACCCATGCCTGTAATTCTAGTCCTCAGAAGGCTGAGGCAGGAGGATTGTTATGAATTAAGAGAAGCATGGGGCTGGGGATTTAGCTCAGCAGCATAAGCACCTGCCTTGCAAGTGTGTGGTCATGAGTTTGATAAAAAAGACAAAACAAACAAACAAACAAACAAACAAAAAAAGAGTAGCAGGCACTATATAGTGAGCTCCTGTCTCAAGCTAAAACAAACAAAAATAATAATATACTATAATGACTGACATTCAAAAAGGAAAACACTGTTTTTAGGGTATGATATTAGGTCCTTAACTGACTCTTTTGAAGATTAAAATACTAATCTATTAAAATTGTTTGCAAAAATTATTAATAATTCCAAGGCTAGGGGCAGAGATTTTTTTTTTTAACCACTGTAAAATCCATGGTTTTTACTATAATCTGTGCTTAGTTCACAGAAGTGTGATTTAGTTTGCTTCTAAGTGTGGTCCAGACACCACTATTTCTAGAAACCTGAGATGATTGTTCCCAGAGTGTGGTCCTCCCCCAGCATCAGCGTCACCAGGGATGTTGTTAAATTCCGAGGCCCCCTGCGGACCTACTGATCAGAAACCCAGGCAGCTGGGTGCAGCACTGCATTTAAACAAGCCCTTGGGGGGGAGCCTAACACACTTAAAATTGGAGAACTCTGACCTAAGATACTTGTTAAAGGCACAGATTTCCGATCTTCATCCAGACTGGGTCAGAATCTCCAGGATCTGGGAGATTATATTTGTACAAATACCACAGAGAACCCTAGAACCCAGGAATCTGAGAACTCCATTGGTCCCTGAGATACGAGGGCAAGGAAGGGGCTTGTCCTTAACATCTCTCAGTCAGAAGTAAATTAGTTTTGCAGAATGAAGCAAGCTCCCTCCATTAGTTCCTAAGTCCGTTAAGTCACAGAATGAATTTAGAATGAATTTATTTTGCAAACAAAATTAATTTCACCCTAAGAAAAACAAGAAGGTACACAGTTAAAAGCAGAAAGTGTGGGCTAGGGTTGTAGCCTGGTAATAGAGTAGTTTCCTGCTGTGTCCAATGTCAGGGATCAATCCCCAGCACGACAAAAAATGAGAGAGAGAGAGAGAGAGAGAGAGAGAGAGAGAGAGAGAGAGAGAGACAGGCAGAGACAGACAGAGAGACAGAGACAGACACAGAGAGACAGACAGACAGACAGAGACAGAGATTACAAAAAAACTAACAATGTCCAGTCTTAACGTCTTCCCTTATTTCATCCATGATCTCAGTCACAGTACCCCATATCATTCACAAGGGGGACATCACTTTTTCAACATAATATTTTTAGTGCGACTTCCTGTGATCACACACCTGTTCCTACGGCCCGAAAGAAGGCCTTGTACTAGTATACTTTCCAACAGTCCGTCTACACTCACACTCACACACTGTACATATAGGTCATGTACAGTGTTCATTGGGTGCTTTGTGTTTTAGTGTCACAAGAGCTACATGCTCATGCCTGTAGATATAATATCAGTCAAGTGGAAAAATTCACATTTTTACTTCATCGTACTATTAAAACTTTCTTCAGACACCACGTATCTAGCTTATTGACTAAGCTAAGCTCTATTCCAATAGGAATGGCTTTTGAATACAGTAACTACAGATGCAGCAGCATGCGGGAGCCTCGAAAAACACACCCTGGGTGAATGGAATCAGACCCATTATATATCCAATAACTCGATTCATGTGAAATATCCAGGGTGGGCACCTCCTCAGAGGTGGTAAGCAGGATAGCGGTGCCAGGAGGTGGGGGGAGAGGGTGCAGGAAATGCTTCATGAGTGCAGAATTTCTTTGTGGGGCGATTGAAGTGTTCGGGAACCAGCTAATCACTGCATAACATTGTGAGTACCACACTGCTAAACTGTGCTTCTTACAATGGTCCATTTTATGTTCTAAATATTGTACCACAATAAAAAAAAATGCACAGAAAAGAGCAGACTAGACGCCCCCCTCACAGAACAGAGAGCGGTGGCGCTCAGGATTTGGAAAACAGCGCTGGAGGGAATTCTAGCATACACCCCAACATGTGGATGGAGTGACCCTAAGTTTGGAAAACATCAGGTTACAATTCTGAGAGCCAGTTCTCCCTGTGGCAGTGCCTTGATTTGCCAAAATAAAATCAGACAAAACAAGCAAAGCCTGAGGACAGGTATAAATAATCAAGCAAACACGTGTGATCAAGTATTGTCAACTAGGCCAGTGAGCGTCTCCAAGGTCAGCTCGGCAGACTTGGGTGACAGTGCCAGCAGGCTCCTCACACGGAGACAGCGTGGGTGTCATGACTTCCTGCTACCTGCCCAGGATTTTCCAGAACAAAGAAGGGTCTCTCCTGTGAAGGACTCTGGGGCGGGGATTTATTTTTAGACTGGCATTCATGTCACAACTCTCAATGCCTCTGACCATCCATCAAGGCTACTTATTATTCTCACGCTGCTCATTTGCAGCTGTGACCCCAATTCTTGTCCTTTTCTGTCTCCCTCTCAGAAATCAAGTTGTCCTCCTGAATCATTCCTCTTATCCTTCATGAGAAAAAGTGAGGGTCTTCAAGCTTTCTCTGGAAAATCTGAGCAAGGTTACAGACTGCTTTGGAGAGAGGCACAGCGGTGTGTGCTGTGGCTTTTACAGGCCAGCTCTTTGTGTGGGTGCTTTTGTGAAATTCTGTCGCCTACGCTACCCACTCCCACGCTCACAACATTCGTGGACTGACGCAGAGGAATCATACTGGCATCACAGTTTGTCCCTGTTACCTCCTGTCTTGAAGCAGGGGCTTCAAGGCTTTGTGCGACCTGGAGTAGTAAACGTCACCTGGGGAGAAGCCTTCATGTAGAGAATTTATCACCAAGTGAATTTCTAAAGGTCAATATTAAGAAAATGGAAGTGCTGTTTGGTGGAAATAGATATTTCCAGAACATTGATTTCGGATACTTCCATGAACACGTGCCAGTCCAGTGTGGCCTCCTGTCTATTTGTGTGACACACACGTTATGCTACTTGGTGTGTATTCATAAAACAGATTTTTGTGCTATTAAAGAACCTAAGCTAAGAATTTGATGTAGTGCTAATAAAATTTAAAAATTTTTAAAAACCTGCCAAAGGGAAAAGATGTTTGCCCTGTATTAGTGACTATCATTTTGATGTGAAACCTACTTTAATGAATACCTGACAAAGAAGCCTTTTAAAGGAATGATTATCTTTGACATGAATATATTCAGTTACTGTTTATACAATGAGATCTTAACTAGCTGGTAAAAAGTGGCACAATATTACCACGAATATAGAAAACACTACATAAAGAAAATGTAAAGTCTGCCTGAGGAGTTAATGATTCATTCTGTTATCTGGGTTGGCACTTTGGTGACAATTTCTCTGAGAAAAAGCTTATGTTTATAGTATTGTGGGTGCAAGCTGTACATTTGAATTATACTCAGTCTTATTAATGCTATGTATAAAATTACAGAAATTACCATAGCAAGAAAGCTTTGTTTGCATTTTGCTTTTAGATGCAAGGCAAGGTAATTACAATTTATGATCCAGTGACTACAGTTTATGCCTTAAAATTATATAATAAAAGGGAAAATGGAAAGTGCTTGCATGTGGATGCAGTGAAACTTCACAATGAAGACTTTGATCGTGTAAACTTGCCTCCTTCACTGTCAGATGATCTCTGACACCACAGGCTAGTAGCTCTTCTATTAGACAGGGGTCTAACTGGGTTCAGAGAAGAGGAATGGGAAGTGGAAAGGGGTTGTAAAATATATGCTGTAAACGGCAGGTTCAGTTCTTTGTTGTGGCCTGAAGAAGAGAAGGCCAGGTTGTGGCTGTGAGTTTCTCCGCCAGTAAACAAATACTCTGTGCCTTGTTCTTCGTTCCCAGACAGCAGCTTCAGATGGTTAAACACAAGAACATTCTTGATCACGTGGCTCAAAATAACAAAGGGAAGCATGAAACAGCTTTTCTCGGAGGGTCTGAAGATGGAGAACATGCACCTATAGGTGAAGAGGTCTTTGGTGGCCAAGGTACAAATTACACGCTTATTGCCAGGGCTGTGATTCTGTGAAAACCTGGTCCCTAAGATAAGGCAGCTCTGCCTTGTCCCCAGCGGGCAATGATATCCTTGATGCTCGATGTAAATTAGGTGTTTCTGGTGTGGACCCTCACTGATCAGGAAGTTCCCACGGGGTATTGGTGAGCGCAAAAGAGGAACCGGATGTCCTTTGTGACTTCCAGTTAATCAGAGACTGGAGGGGGAGGGGAGAGGGAGGGGAGGAGGTGGGGGATATGGACTGAGGAGCTGGCAAATGTGTAAGAACACAGCACAAAGTTAAAGTAATTGTACTTTAAAATAACGTATTAAAAATTAAAAGCAGTGATTCTCAATACTGGTTGCATTTAGAATCACTTAGGAATTTTTTTAAAAATCATACTTGAGTGCCATCGGCCTGGGCTGGGGCGCTGGCACACTACTTTCTTTAGGCAGATTCTAGATCCACATTCTAGCACTTCTAGAACTCTCTTGTGTTCCCACAGAGTGTGCTGATTCTAAAAATCAGCGATCACTGCATAGTATTCTTTTTTTTCAAAGGCAGCGATTGCTTCAGACTACTTTTTGACCAAGACACAAATTAATATTTTCAGCTGCCCATCTACACGTGGACACTGTGACTGTGTTAGCAGCACAGTACTGGGAAGGATGATGCCTCTGGGCTCGGGTTTCCTAGTGAGGTCACTAATGCCCCTCAGGTCCCTCTGGTCTCTGTATTCTCTGGGAAATGCGATGATAGCATAGATTTGAGTAGGAATTTGTACTTAAAACATATTTTCCAACTCTAAATTGCTGACATCAGAATAAAGGGGAGTGAGACACCTTACTGGTTTTCTGTGGTGCCTTTCTGATAACCAACCTAAAGTAACTGGTCAAAGCCAGCTCATCAGTTAAAGGTAATATTGTGGCATTTTCCGTAGGTAACTCGGTGGACATTTATTTGAGCATCACGATGTCCTAGACACGGTGCTGGTATCAGTGATGGTGCAGGGGCACAGAAGATGCGTCCTGTTCTCAGCGTGCCCAGGGCTTGGTAGAAAAGGAAGTTGGAGTTGAGGGATTGGATTCAAGTTTTCTCAGCCTCCAGAAGAAACAAGGCTTTGGATCAACACCTCCAAAACAAGAGCACCAGCCCTCAGGGAAGAAGTGTGAGAAATCTGTTCTTCTACTAAATATAATTTAAAAATAATTTCTGTAAGTCCCCGAAGAACACTTCTGAGCTACTTTCTGTACTGTGCTTGAGTTAGTCCTGAACGCGGAGTGAAGCGTGGGGTGTCACAGCTTGGTTTTGGCTGTGCTCTAGGGAATTAAGGGGGAAATTTGTGCACACATCTAGGGCGAAGCAGAGGAGAGCACAGAGGTGTGGGAAGGTGTTTACAGGATGTTAAGAAACCCACGGTGAAGCCTGGATCTCAACATCCACATCAAGATGGCTTGTAAGTGGCCAGGCCAGCGCTGGGCAACCAGGAACTCAGCTGCTGGGAAAAGTCCATTGCTACTCAGAATCTCCTATCTGTGGTAAATGTAAACAGAGCCTTATTTATTCAGTAAGCACTGAGCCCCTACTGTGTGCCAAACCCATTGTTTCAAATGGCCTGGCCAGCAGCTTCACACTATGATACTCTCATACTGTCTGCTCCTCAAGAGAAAGAAGTCACCTCCGTTAATCTCTGTTCCTTCCCAGGCTTCTGTCACTTCCCACCCTAGGATGGGACAATGGGGACATCCAGTGGTCACCCTCGCCTGGAAAGTATACTGTTCAATCTCAGAGGACAAGGCCATGGTTATAGTTTAAAAGGCACACTTCAAAGCCCTGGTTATTCAAACCAAAAAATAAAATAAAAAACAGCACAAAAGTCCCACATTTACAGTAGTTAACTGCCCAGCCAGGGGAAACCTGCTCCTAGATCCAGAGTGATGTTAAGAAAAGGCCAGGTCTGGTCACTGTTAGGACCTATTTTAACGCTGGCCAGGAGAAAATCCATGCAGAAAACATACACTGTACATATTTCCTGGGAGAGGTACAATTTTCAAAGGCAAAACTAAATCCACATTTAGGACAAAAATGTTTATCTGCAAGGGTGCATTTCTACCAAATAGAGCAGAATGTAGGTTGCTCAGTGTCACATTTAACATTTCTGTCAGAAGCACTGGCTTTCAGTTTCCGGGAGACTTAAGTTTTTCTTTCCTAGAAGAGCGATAGGTGGTTATTATGCTTACAAAAGTGTTCTTTGACTTGCCTAGTGTGAAAGAGCCTGTTTCAGAGATGAATTAGTGTTTTACTCCTAACACATTTTAGCTATCGTGAAAAACAAACAATTCCACTGGTCACCCTATGCTGGGGGTGAGGACTGCATGCCCCACGAAAAAACAGAAAAGAACCCACCAGATGGAGTGCTGGGGGACTGAGGCTGGGTGGGAGCCAATGCCCTGGGCAGGAAGGTGAGGAGAGAGGGACCCTGACAGATCAAGCTGCACTTAGGAGAGGGGACCGAAGGGGAGGTGACATTTTGCTTGAGAGGTCATGGAGGGCTGACATTTTGTTCGAATAGTCTGACATTCACACCTATTTCATGTTTTTAAAAAACCCAAACTATTAAGTGTGCATTTAAAAAATTACTATTACACTTTTTAAAAATGTGTTTTACATATTTTTTCTTATTGTTTATTGGTACAGTTTAGATATACATAATGATCGCATTCCTCATAGGGAATCTGTACCTCACATGATATATCTTGATTCCTCTTTTGTTTCCCAATCTCCTCTCCCCCCTTCAACCCCTCTTTCTCTCCTTATTTACCAAGTTTTATCCTTCTTTTATAGGTTTTTTCTTTCCTCTTCCTTCCTTTCCCCTCCCCTAGTTGCCCTTCCTTTTGAACAATTTCTCCCTATTTTGCCATACCTTTTATATACTTTGGTCCTTATGTATATTAATTTTCAGTATCTCAAACCAGGAAAACAATGTGATATTTATACGTGTGTGTACAGTTCATTTCACTGAAGAGTGAGGTCTCAAGGTGCATACATTGACAAGGAAATATCTCAAGTTTATCTTTCTTGACATCTGAGTAGTACTCGATTGTATTAAAAGAAAACCCACATCTTATTTTTTCATTCCTTGGTTGTTGGACATTTGGGTTATTTCCAAGATTTAGGTATTGCAAACTGTGCTGCTCTGTAAACATGGGGGCATATACTGCTGTGGTATGATGTTTTTAATTCTTCTAGGAAGATACCAAGAAAGGGAATAGTTGGGTCAAATGGAACTTCTAATTCTAGTTTTTTGAGGAATCGCCACACTAATTTTCACTGGCTGCTCCAATCTGCACCCCTACGCACAGTGCAGAAGGACCCCTTTTTCCCCACAGTCCCTCCAGCCTTTGTTATTAGTTGATTTCCCAATGATGGTCATTCTTTCTGGGGTGAGAAGGAATCTCAGTGTTGTTTTAATTTGCATCTCTCAGATAACCAGTGATGTTGAACATTTTTTCATACATGTGTTTGCCATTTGTTATTTCTCTGAGAAGTATGCATAAAGCATTGGAAAAAACCTGACATTGGCTGGGGATTTAGCTCAGTGGCACAAGCACTTGCCTGGCAAGTACAAGGTCATAGGTTCAATCCCGGGCACCAAAAAAAAGAAAAAAAAAAAACAGACATTCTTATCCTCTATCCTATTTTCAGTTTTAAAATGGAGAGAATAACTAAGGAGGGATGTTGGGTTGAGTTTAATGTACTATACTCTACATCAAAGACAATAATTTCTAGACTGTGTCAGAGTGAACATAAATCACTGTATTTCCTAGGAGTTTATCATGAAGGCTTCTCTCTTCATATCTAATATACTCCTGTTACATACCATAGTATGTACACATTTAATGAATAAATCAAAGCTATAGGGTGTGAATTAATTTAATAAACTTTGAGTAACTACCTCATTCGACATTCAAATAACAGACCAACTACCCTCACGAAATAGTCTCATTTTGTTACTTCATTTAATAATCATAACAACTCCTGAAGTACATAGTTCTATTTAATACACATAGAAACCTAAACTCAAAGTAAACAATTCGAAGGTACAGATTAGAAATGAAAAACAAAACAAGGCTGGGTTTGGAATCAGGTCTCTTGTTCCCAGTTCATTCGGTCATTCTTTCATTCCTCCAGGGAACATTCCCAAGGCAGGGACCATGAGCCATTTGTAATTTTTTTTTTATTTTAAAAAGAATAAAGCAAAAGAAAGCAAATAATAAAATGCAACAAAACAAAACAATGAGAGTGATATTGGATTTCAAAAACTAGACAGTAGGGCTGGGGGTTTAGCTCAGTGGCTTAAGCGTGGCAAGCTGAGGTCATGAGTTCAATCAGACAATAGGAAGTCAACAGTAGTTACTATGTTATGCATTGTTATCCTCTCAACAGATAAGGGCACACACAGTTAATCAAACAAGCACTAAGCACTGACTTGTTTCTTTACTTGAGTTGCTCTCATTTCAGGAATTTCAGGTGTGTGACTTCTGAATTCTTCTGTGTCTGTGTCTCCTGCACTTGTTCTGGGTGGGCTGGAGGTCTGAGACTGCACCTTGCTCCTTTGTCTTGACATTTTCCTGCTTTCCTCCCGATGAGCCATTTGCTGGGTCCCAGGCACTTCTTGCACTGGCTGCCCATCCCCAATGTAGAGGACTGGGCTGGGCCCCTCAGTTCCTCTGATCTGAAGTTCCTGGAGCGGTGGAGAGGTGCTGGACAGTGGCTCACCAATGCTCCCCTGTTGGCAGTGGGGCTCAGGGCACAGCGTTCTGTCTTCTGCGTCATGGCTTCTTCTCTATTTTTTTTTTTGAGACAAGTTCTTTCTATGCAGTTCAGCCTGGACTCAAACTCATGATGACCCTCCTGTCTCAGCCTCCCAAGTGCTGGGATTCCAGACATGCATCATCACACCTGCCTAATGCAAACCTTTTAGAGCCCACTGTAGCATGTGTACCATAAGTTTGCTACCATTCTAGAGTGTTGTTAGTCATGGTTTCCCCTGGTGAAATCTCAGTCTAAGCAAATTACTGCTGAACACTGAGTCTCATGAAGACAATTATTTAGAAAATAGGCTCAGTTATTCACTCAGGCCATTTTATGGGCTGAATTAAAAGTTTTCTGTATTTGTCATAAGTGAAGAATTGTTTAGGAATTATGACCAATCAGTTGAATGTCAACTTGTTCAGTTTTGGGATTGAGGTTAGAAGTCTTAACCACTAAAGAAGCTGTCACAATGTCACTCTCTCACCCCAATCTCTCATATACATTTCAAGAAAACTTACATCTGAATCATAAAACAAATGTAGCACAGTGCATTAAAGCCTGCTTTTCCTCCTAATGACTACTCATGTGCTATTTCTGGCTCTGTGCAGTGCCCTAGGCACATACTTGATCTGCTCCTTGCTTCATCCAATCTGGGATACCAGCTGTCTATTGTGCATTTCATTGGCATTGGGCCCTGCTTGAATCTTTGTCCATTAATTTGAAAATAATTATCAGCTAAACTTCCAGATGAAGACTATAAATCTATTCTCCAGAAAAGAGGTTGAGTTCGAAGTCACAGAAGCTGCAGACCGTTTTCTGTTCCCACTCCAGGTGGCTAGGACAGCTCGTTTGGTGTGATATAAAATGGGTATGTCACCCATTGTGCCATTAGTGTGCCATGGAAATCTTGTGCAAAAGATTATGGTCTGTGTATCTGAGGAGAGGAAAATTTGAAACTCTGGAAAATATTTGAAAGGGTTCTTGTTGCCTCCATAGAAGTTAATGTTACCACAGTTTGGAAACTTGAGGCTTCATTAATTATTTTTAATTTGGCATTGAAAAGTGCATAATCTTATAATTGCAACCTACCAATAAACCTCTCTACTCCTTTCTAATGAACCATTTTATACACAACTTGAGATACATGATTAATTAGGTGACAAGACTAGCTAGACAACTAAGACTCTATTGTATAAATAAATGCAGGTAAGTCCTGAGTTACAAACTAAGTCCTGAGTTAAGTTCTTTTCTTTCTTGAGAGTATGGAAAAATCAGAACACAAAATTTTTTTAAACATCAGAATAATGTCTGCAAGAAATGCAGATGTTTCCCTAACTTGGGACATACAAGATTTGGTTTGAAATGCTCTGAATTCTATGGTTACTCTCCTTAAAGAAACATACTGTCCTACGTTTTTGGTTGTTTTATTTGCTTTCTTTGCCAAAAATTCTATTGATAAGGAAATAGAAAAGTCACTGGAGTTTTTACTAACTGAGTTTCTTCATCTACAAAATGGAACTCTCACTGGTACTGTTCGCAGATGTCTTGAGCTCTGGGTGAATGATTTGGGGATGACAGTGTACAATGTATGTACCATTGTTGCTCTCTGATTGACATAGTTTCAAATTTTTAGTTTTTTTCTTTTCCTTGTTTTCCTCGAAATAAAATAGATTTGAAAAAAAAATGAAGTGGAACTCTCATACATAAACTCACACACATACACAGATATACACATTTCATAGCAGTTAAATCTCAAGCTCTGGAACAAGCCAGGTATGGACTGCTGTTCTGGCTCTGTATGTCTGAGCTACATAGCCTTAGGTAGGACATTTCTCCAACCTCAAGTTTTTGCCCATAAAACTAGGATAATAATAATAGCTACTTCTAGGATTCTTTTAAGAATGAGATAATACAATTGAGTATGTAGCAAGCTGTTGGTTCTTTGGACATTGCATATATTCCAAAAATAAAATCCATGCTTTTACATATCCAAGGTGCTCATTTTAATCACAGTCACTGTCAAAAGTGAAGTTCTAGTGAGACCTCTATTTTCTGTATTAAAAGTAATTTCCTTCCCCCACGTTTCCCACCCAGCATTTTATTCACACTTATTATAGGCTAGCATCTGACCTTTATAGTCAGAAATTATTGTAGATAGAGAAGTTGGAGCTGTCTTTCTTGTTAGGTTGTACATAGCTGGAACCTCAGTTTCAATTAGATTGCATGCATATCATTACACTAGGAGCAAAGCTCTAATTTCAATCAACAGTGCATCCTTGCAATCTAGTTGTGCCGCTGAATGGGATGATGGACCAGTAGGAACTATCACTACCTGGACTATCTGCAGCCGGTCCGGTGTTTTTTAGGTGAGCTCTAGTGGGGCAATCTGCCTCACATCTGCAGGGGCTTTGGGAGGAGAGTCTTCTCCTCCCAGGGGTGGAAAACAGCCTGGCTTTATTGGTCTCTAGGAGGAACAGCACAGCTGGAACTCCCGATCTAATGTGGTTGTCAAAGTCCTGAGTCTTTCTAGAGCTGAGCCACCCGACCCTTCATTTTCCACTTACTCCCTGTTTGTTTTCCAAAGGATATTTGTGGCAGGATGATGAACCCTGAAATTCTGGCTAGAAATCTTATCTCTTCTAGTAAATGTTCCCTTTTAAGTACAGGGCTTACACATATACAACACCATACATAATTACACACACAGTTCTCCTCCGTCAGTGTTAGTCCTGACCTGAACTATAATCAGGCTTTTTACAGTACCACTTTAATAGTATGAAAGTACAAGCAAACAAAATTAGAAGAGCGTGTCACGTGCTGTATCTATTGTAATGCAGAAATATATCCATTTTACAAGTGGGTGATATTTTACGTGACCTTTTTATATTACCCGAGGATAATGATTGCTTAAGATCTTTGATGATTTCTCTATAGTGTTCTGGAGAAAAACTTCAGAGATAAAAAATAAGTCGTTTAAAAATCTGAACAAAATGCAGTCAACTCAATTCACCAAGGAGAACTGGGCAGTTTTTAGGATATGCAAATTAACAACAGGGCTTGGGTTCCTATTCTCCAGAGAGGTCATAATTTAGCATCATTACTTTTGTTAAAGTATTTTTTTAATGACCCATTTATATATGAAATAGTTGATGGGGTATAAAGCTAGTTAGGTAAATATTAACAACTTCTTCAAATTCCCTTTTGAAAAAATTAAAACATATATGTAAATAATTACAAGCTATTTTCAAGAGTTCTTTTGGTAAATGACATAAAAATCAATATATATGAAATCTATTCAATTAAAAATTATAATGAAATCCAATTATCAGTATTACCGAACAATGAAAATGTTCATGTACTTTGGTTTTCCTGATAATGGAAACTTCCATTCCTTTGCAAGTGTCACAGTATTTTAAATATTAGTCAGTGCGAAGTGTATTTTTTAAAATATATGATCTATTTCCCCTGCCTTCTTAAATTATGTTCCACAAAGCAAACTTAACAGTTTCTTAATGACATAGGAACGCCACTGTGGGCATCAAACAGCAAGCCGAACTATAAATAGAGATTGTTGGAGGTATAATACAGAGGGGATTTTTTTTTCCATATACTAAATAGGCCCAGAGTATTTTTGGTTCCTTCACTTATTATAAATACTCTTGCTTTATAACAAACTGCCCCAAACAGTGACATTTACAAAAATCATCTGGTTATACTCTTAGAGTCTATGAGAGATCCACTGCATCTAGGGCTTTTGCTAGGCAGACTCAGACGTGTGCATGACTTCAGGGGCTAGGTCAGGAGGAGCTAGGGCTCGAAGCTCTGGTTCCTTGGTGGCATCTCACTAGCTTGTTTGGTGCCTGAGCTGAAGTCGGTCCAGCCTGGACTCCCCTGAAACTTTCCATAAAACACCAGCTCATGACCTCATCCCAAGGCTTCCGACCCTCGCAGCATCATGACAGAGTCTATGATGGAAAGTCCAGAGTGTGAATGTTCCATAACAAGAGATGCAAGCTTCACAGCCTCTGCTCATGGCTGTAAAAATCATACAGTACAGCGTCATTCTTTTACTAATAACAGACTCACAAGGTCAGCCCTGGATTCCCGGAGTCAAGTTTGTGACTTTGCTTCCTGACGAGGCAGTGAATGTCAAAGTTACACGGGATGGAAAATATCATTGTGACTATCTTTGGAAAATGCAGACTGTCAGCAACCATTGTTTAATGCTACTGACCCTCCTGTAGGCATCCCACACACTGAAGATAAGGTTTATGGTTTCTGATCTAAAATAATAAGCTGAATAAACTAGATTTCAAAACCTGATACAAAATCTGAACATGCAACCAGCTGAGTGAAGCCTAACAACTGCCTTGTGAATGAGGTGACCGGACGTCAATACACTGATGTCGTGGGAGCCACTGAACTGACAGGGAGCCAGTTCCGGTTCACTGTCACCCGATAGTACAGGATGGGTGCTATGGACTCATCTGTGCCTCTCCAAACACATGCATTGAAACTGTCACCCCCAAAGTAACTTTATTTAGAGATGGAACCTTGAAGGAATTAAGGTTAAATGAGGTCACAAAGGTGGGCATGTGGGTGCTGGGATTACAGATGGTTGATTGCTAGACCAGTCCTCTGATTATATCAGCACCACCAATACAAAGCAAAGACAGAGGCTTGTTGCTGTCTCTTGTTGCATTTGCTGTCTTCTGCTTTTGCGAACTGTTGCCTCTCCACCATGTGCCACTCCGCCTTGGAGCCAGATGATTATAGACTGAAACCTCTACAAAGTGTGAGCAAGCCTTTCCCACCTTAACTTTGGGTGTCAGCTACATGTTTCAGCATCAAGAGAGAAGTAACTTAGTTCCTGAGGTTTCAGTTCATGACTGGCTGGTTCCAAAGCAGAACATTCCACCATGTCTTAGCTACCTTTCCATCACCAGGACAAAATACCTGACACCCATAACTTAAAGGAGAAGAGGTTTATTTCAGCTCATGGCTTCCAGAGGATTCACTCCACAGTTGACTGTCTCCAAGATAGAAAGGACATGGTGGAAATGGGTGGGTGGAGGGAAACTGTTCAATCCAGGCTTCCAAAAAGCAAGAAGAGCAGGGAAGAGCCAGAGAAAAGAAGATGCTTTTCCAGGTCACACTGCCAGTGACAACTTGTAACCAGTTCCCAAATCCTAACATCACTTTCAACTGCTGAACTCATCAGTGTTGGCTCCCCTGATGACAATAGCACCCCTATGAGCCAGTTATTTTATATGGACGTGGGGATTTGGGGGCACATTTAGATCTAAACCAAATAACATGGCCAAAGAGGCAAGAGGAAAGCTGCTCAACTCATGGCAGCCAGGAAATAGAACAAAGATGGGGCCAGGAAACAAAAGGCACCTGCTGGACCCTGCCTCCTGATAGCCCATTACACTTTTAATCCCATCACCCGTAAGCTCAGTGTTATGGTGCAAATCAATGACACACTCTAGATTCAGCCACCTCCCAAAAAACTCTATGACCACATGAGGCACTGGGAGGGCCATCAAGACACAAACCAGAACAGTCACTGTGAGCCAAAACAAATGATTCCTCCTTTAACTTAGTGAACAAGCATTCGTCTCAGTGACTAGAGCTGACTCACAGAGCAGTGTTTTGTTACTGAGCCCTAGCTGACTCGCGCGTGGGATAAGCAACTTCCCAGAGAAGGGGTCTCAGACCCCCTCCACTGCTGCTTTCACCCACCACTCTTTGTTCCCTCTAGATATCCGCACACATTTCTGTTCTATCTAGAAGGTTCTTTGCTCCTTGTTGGTTCTACTAACTCGTCCCTGAAGTCTCAGCTCAGACGTCTTCTTTCTTGGGTCTAACCAACCACCCGGGCATGTCCGATCGTTCTGTTCTTGCACACCCCCCTTGGTCATGTCATTTTTCACAGTAAGTGGTAACCAGCCAGCTCTGAGCACTCCCCTCTCTACTGATGTGGGTAAGATATCTCAGGGAATTACTGTCTCCTGGTCCTCCCCACCAGGTGACCTGACACTTAGTAGGTACTCAGCATTTGTTTGTTGATGATACATGACACTAAAAGTCTCTAAAATGTAGGAACTGGAAGGCAATTAATTGTGTTATTCTGTTTTTTGTTCCTATAACTGCGTACCAAAGACTGAGGTCAATCATGTGTATCCATCTCCGGGCTCCAAAGACTAGCAAGTTCAGTGTTGGGCAGTCTGTATCCAGTAAGGTCCTTCTTTCTGTTGGGAACTTGGATATTTCCAAGGTGGCATAGGGTGAGAGTGAGTGAATGTCCTAGCCCAGGGTTTTTCTTCTTCTTTTTATAAAGTCACTAGCCCATTGGATTTGGGCCCTACCCTTACGGTCTCATTCAATTTTGATGACCTCTCAAAGATCCCACCTCCAAATTCCAAGATTGAATTAAATTTCTACCTCCTCAGTACCTCACAATGGAGGGTTAAATTTCAGCGTAGGGTGGAGACATTCAAACCGTCATGGCACCGTATGATCTAATCCAGATTCTCATTTCCTAAGCGAGGAAAGTGTAGCCTGAATGGTGGTTTCAGACAGATTTCAAGGGCAGTCACCACCACTCCCCGAGTAAGTATAAAAAGGCATCCTGAAAGGTAGTAATTTTAGGAGATGACTGAACAGTTGAAGAAGCATGAG